AAGACAACACACCGGTACTGCAGTGGCCATTAGGAAGAATCATCAATGTATATGAAGGAAACGACGGTGTAGTGAGAGTGGCTGATGTAAAAACTGCTAGTGGCACTTGCAAGAGGCCCATTCATCGGCTTGCACCCTTGCCCAAGGAAACAAATGATGCCACAGAACGACAATCAACCAACAACCTGCTTGAGGAAGACAAAATTCCATCAAGTCCTTACACCAAGGACTTGCTACACTTCTGATTACCCTACTCATCTTACCACTGGCTTTAGGAGCTGAATTTCAAAATAAGCGATTTGGATCAAGGCTTGGCATTCATTTTGAAGGAATAGNTGAACTTCAAAATAAGCGATTTGGATCAAGGCTTGGCATTCATTTTGAAGGAATAGGCTCAACAGCCATATCAACCACTGATTGGAACCTAATAATCTACTATGACATGGAAGGATTTTTGGTAGAACTAGCAGCGCTGTCGAATGGCACAAGGGCCCTGCACTATTTATGTCAAGAAATCACACAAAAAAGCTCATGTCTTTCTCTGGTAGCACATCTTGAACAGACTGAAAAAGAGTTGCAGCTAGATTACGCAATAGTAAAATCTAATCGGCGTAAACGAGGTGCCATTGATGCAGTTGGAAATATCGCTTATTCTTTGTTTGGAGTCCTGGACGCAGAATATGCAGAACAAATGTCCAAAACAATCACACACGTTAAGGAAAATGAACTACATCTGCTGCACCTGATCAGAAATCAAACATCCATTGTGGACTCAACCATCAACATTTTGAAACAAGATCAAAAAGCGGTCAAGAGGAAGTTCGACATCATTGATCAACAAGTGAGTCAAATATTCCAGAGGATCAGCAACGACACGCATGAGATATACCAAGAAAAATTATTTCGAATCTTTTCCTCGTTATCCATCCAACTCACACTTGTGGCAGCCAATTTGCAAAGAATGCAATCTGCAATATTAGCCGTTCTAATAGATACTCATCACGGAAAAATAAGACCTCTTCTGCCGACGCCCAGCCAATTGCAAGACGAAGTAAACAAAATTAAACTTCACTTATCAGCACCATTGGAACTGCCTGTAAACCAAGAAGATTTACTCCAGCTATACCAACTCATGACGGTTAAGGGAGGACTTACAGAAAAGCATGTTGTATTCAGCATCACATTGCCTCTGGTAGAGCATGATCGATATGACTTATTCAATCTGCTACCAATTCCTACTTGGACTAATGGGACTATGATTGAAATAAGTCCGTGTGCTGCAGTTTTGGCAATAAACACAGCTCTCGGTCAATATTTCCCGCTGAGCGTCTCCAAATTTCAATCTTGTGTGGATATTAAAAATGGAAATTACATCTGTTCTAAAATTCAAATTCGTTATAGTCACGGTTCATCTAAATGCGCATGTGAAGTAAATTTATTCAACAACAACACCCAGTCAAGTTGTCAACTGCGAAAAACACCAAACGATGTTGCATGGATATCACTACAGCATAAAAATCAATGGATTTATGCCACGTCAGTTTCATCTCGTGCAACCGCAGTATGTGGAAAAGAAATCATTCAGGTGATTCTAAAAGGATCAGGACTGTTATCACTCCAACCAGACTGCATACTCAAACATAATTTTATATCAGTTCAAGCAGATCAGTTGATATCGACGAGTCTTAGCTCGTCCTACACTAGCCTGGGAGAAATTTCCGAGGTAGCAGCAGCAGAACATATAAAGCCTCTTCTTCAATCACGGGATGATGAGAAATACATAACACAAATACAAAACCTCACGTCCTTACAATCATCATTGGCCAATCAACGCATATTAGAACTCCCAAACAAACTTGAAGCACAAAATGCGCACCACATAACGGTTGGGTACACTGCCTTGGTTACAGTTTTGTGCCTTTTGGTGTTCATGCTAGTCAAAAGAAAATTTAAAACAGCCAAACAGGAAACATTGCACGCATCCACGACTGCGACCACATCCGGTCAAAATGAAAAACACACACCTGCGCCTCGACATTCTCATGGAAGTTTGGACTTTACGATAAACATTTAGGACAGAACCTGCTAAGGAATTCGAGCTGCGCTCACCGGGGGGAGGATGTTATTAAATAAGAAAAGTCGACATATTAATATTGCATTGGCTTTATTCAACAGGGTATTAATTTTCGCTTGCATTCTTTTATGCGTAGCTTGCACTTTATGCCTTTTAGTGTATTCTTATAGCCAAATAATTCGGCATGTGTCAAGTTACATATAAGACATTGTTGATTAATGCACGCATTGCTTAATAGACGCAAAATGTGGAATATGCTTATGTCAACAAAAACGTGGGAATAAAGCATTTGCATTAATTATGCTTATGTAAAACAAAACGTGGGAATAAAGCCTTTACAATAATTTTGCTTACGATCGAAAGTTTTTATGCCCTTATTATTTAGCTACGTAAGCATTTAGATTGTATAAAAACGTAATCATTAATTCAATAAAGATCACTTGAAAGCAATCAAGCAAACAACAGTGTTCGAACTTGGCGTAATCGCTATTATTCTGAACAGTTAGGTTATTGAACAAAGAACAATCAGCTGTCTCTTTCTGGTCCACTTTTACAGCTGATATGACATCAGGGGTGGAAAACTGAATTATAAAATTGTACATAATTTAAGGAAAACTTTACCTAAAAGTAGATAAATGTACCTAAAAAGTAAATATGTATTTTTCTATATAAAGCAAATAGGAGGATAACAATTCCCATCGATACCATATAAACTTCTGTACTCACATTAAACAAATTTTGGCTATGAAAAGAATATCTTCGAGCAGTGCGAGACAAAACTATGATGTTGAAAAGGTGAATCACTTTCCTCCCAGTTCTTCGATCCGACGTTTTAAAAAGAAATATTTTCCTTCTATCTGTCGAAATCAACTACAGTTGCGCTACTTTGACCACCCTTTTGTATCATTTGTATGCTCCTTCACGAACGAGGTAAGCTAATAGCTTACCAGTTGCTCGCACCAGAAAATGCATTGAAATATCAATAAAAATAAGAACTGATTTCCTGAGAAGTTATATGGCTACGTTCCAAATGTACCTAAAACTGTGTTTTGTACCGAATGTACTTTCAAACTAAATAAAGGTACAATTGTACCAACTTATCCATCATTGTAGGTAATCCAGCTAATTGCGCAGCTGACGTGTGTGTGAACACATTGCCTCAGCTAATTGGCCTGTTAGTCTAAGCTTTAAAATTTGCAAATTTTCGGTCTAGTGTACAGATGTGTACGTGTGCTCGGGCTATAGGTTAGTTTTCGCTGTCTGTCGGGATGTTATTACCGGACAGAATGTTTGCCCTGATAAATACAGGCTTCAAATACTATAATGCGTAAAATAATAAAACTTCAGATTTGTTAAAACACTTTTGATGTTTTTTTTACATTCAATAGTATCTGCCATGATCTCAAAACTGCCATAATAGTCAGCCATTATTATATTCGAATAAAAATAACAATAAATGTTAAAATACTTAACTGGAAGACTTTTTTAAAATACTTTCGAAGTTGGTCTAAATTTTCTACTTTTGCAACCTGCGTGACGCCGTATGGACCGTTTCCGGACTTAGTTAGTCTCCCTTCCAAGTAGACTGAACAAAAATTCAGCTTTGGTAAATTACATGCAGTCTTCCGTTCACTGGCTCTTAGACTAACACATTCATTTTGTAAATTTAATTCTAAATAACAAAATTTATTTTTGTTAACATAATTACAAGGAGACAGGTGACAAGATCAACGGAAATAAAGTCAATTGACGCTATTAACCATACTGGTGCGAAATAAAGTCAATTGACATTATTACCATTTCAAAAGCGAAATAAGGTCAACAAAAATTTGGAAATAAATTAAATGATGCTATTTCCTAATTCAAATGGAAATAGCGTCAACAATGCATAAAGTATGTCGGTTAAAGCTGATGCCACATAAAACTTTTGCTTCGCTTTACGTGACAGATTCGCTTTGACAGATAAGATGAAAATCTACAAAGCACGCCACATAGATAGTTGAAGCTGCAACGCTAACCGCAAAGAGGGCCAACTCCCAACTTTTTGCGCGCTTTGACAATCAACCGGTTTAATATTTATTTTGTTT